CAAACGAACCGAACTCTGACGTCAATCGAACCCGGGTGCGCACCAAAAGTGCTAGTGTGAAAGCACCCTAAAACATTCAGATGACACGCAGCTCATTTCTCCGTCACTGTAAGTTACCGAAAACACATATGAAAACACGTAACACACGGTAGACGCGTGTTTGTGCGGCAGAGTGGCTCTCTCTCGCACTGTATGACGTGACTAGTTGTCCAGTCTGGTTCCGTTCACACAGCGCGTGTTCCGACGTCTGAGTTTGGTTACAGAATGCGGTTGTCACACCCGTAAATAACCGAACTATGTGTGAACGTAACCGTATTAAGAACTCAAAAACAGGACTGACAACCGTATTCTGCTGCTGTGAACGTGGCCATAAACTCACAATTGTGAGTTTATATCTTACAATTCTGAGAACAGAAGTCAGAATTGCGAGAAAAAGGTCAGAATTGCGAGGGACAAAAGTCTGAATTGTGAGATACAAACTCGCAATTGCGAGAAAAATATCAGAATCACAATTCTCGCAATTGCAAGTTTATATCACGCGATTCTGACTTTATTTCTCTAAATATATTTATTTTCTGCTAAATGTAAATGTATTTCTCACAATTCTCAAAATTGTCAAAAATAAACTCGCAATTGCGAGGAAAAGTCACAATTGTAAGATAAAATGTTGCAGTTACCTTGTTTTATTTTTTTATTCAGTGACCGAAACAGGCTTCTATAGTCTCGTATTCCAGTTGTGTGATATTTTGAATGTTAATGCCTTGTGTGATTTTCCCCCATCATCAGTTTTGCTTTCAGTACGCATGTACAGCTAAAGGCAAATGTGCTCTCTCACATCAGACGCTCCGTGAAGGTCATTGTACTAATGGATCGATAGCTGGACCTCCTGCGATTGTCATGCTTTTAACAGTCCTCACGATCATCTCAGCGGTTCTAATCGTGTTAATTACAATTGAGCTAATGCTGGTGATTCATCATCGTCACTGATCTGAGCGCGGGGTTGATGGATGTGCATATATTAGTGTTATTAGCTCTGCTGTTCAGATATCATGTTCTTTATGATCCACACACCTGTAGCTGACTGTTAAACTAGAATAACTCATTCAACATCCATCAGCAGTGATCCAATCAGAAATGTTCAGCGCTAAAATAACAGCAATCAAATTAAAAAGGCTGTGCGTGCTCAAGACTTAGAACTGGACATAATATCTTGGATGTACCTGGCATCTACACTGCCATTCAAAGGTATGGGTCGGTATGTTTTTTTTAATGTTTTTGAAAAAAGTCTTTGCTGCTCAACAAGGCATTTATTTGATCAAAAATACAGTAAAATATTGTGAAATATTATTACAATTTAAAATAGCTATTTTCTATGTGAATATATGTTAAAATGTAATTTATTTCTGTGATCAAAGCTGAATTTTCAGCATCATTCCTCCAGTCTTCAGTGTCACATGATCTTCAGAAATCATTCTAATATGTGACCCTGGACCATAAAACCAGTCATAAGGGTAAATTTTTCGAAATTGAGATTTATGCATCATCTGAAAGCTGAATAAATAAGCTTTCAATTGATGTACGGTTTGTTAGGATCGGACAATATTTGGTCGATATAAAACTATTTAAAAATCTGGAATCTGAGGGAGCAAAAACATCTAAATATTGAGAAAATCATCTTTAAAGTTGCCCAAATGAAGTTCTTAGCCATGCATATTACTAATCAAAAATTACGTTTTGATATATTTACGGTAGGACATTTACAAAATATCTTCATGGAACATGATCTTTACTTAATATCCTAATTATTTTTGGCATAAAAATCTATAATTGTGACCCATACAATGTATTGTTGGCTATTGCTACAAATATACCCCAGCGACTTAACACTGCTTTTGTGCTCCAGGGTCACATATGCTGATTTGCTGTTTTTATTTTTGTAAATTATAAAACTTTTTACTGTTGCTTATGATCAATTTAACATGTTCTTGCTGAATGAAAGTATTTGTTTGAATGGTAGTATATCACAGTTTCCACAAAAATACTGATGATAATCAGAAATGTTTCTTGAGCAGCAAATCAGCATATTATTATGCTTTCTGAAGGATCACGTGACACTGAAGACTGGAGTAATGATGCTGAAAATTCAGATTCGATTCAAATTTTAACATATATTCACATAGAAAACAGCTATTTTAAATTGTAATAATATTTCACAATATTAATGCTTTTACTGTATTTTTGATGAAATAGGTGCAGTCTTGGTGACTTATTTTAAAAGCAATAAAAATCGCAATTATTCCAAACTTTTGAGCGGCAGTGTTAAAAACTACAAATATGTTGATGTTTTCGAGTTTGCAGTGGTGTAAAGAGCTCAGAGCTGGGGAGGCCCACTGAAGGGTCATGTGACTGAATCTGAATGAGCTTACAGTTAGATATTCAAAGCTCAGCAGTGGTACTAAACAGTGAGGTGGGATCCGCATGGCTCTTCGGTACAGTGCGATGGGCAAACCTCTGTGTGTGGTGACCCGCGCGAGGCCAGCGGCAGCCAAGGATCCCGTCACGGGATGTGAGTGTGGCACGCTTCATTCATTTGTCTGCGTTTGACAGTGTTTGTAGTGTTGTTTGGCTGAAGCACAGACAGTGGCTGGATCGGGTGGATCTGTGCTCAGACAGACGGGTGAGCGTTGGTTACGTGTGCTGGAGTGTTTGCTAATGTTGTCCATTTCTGTGTTTGTTGTGTGTGTCTGGCGCTTTCTCTCGGTCCACACCAGTCGATGCTGATGAGATTAAAAGGCTGGGAAAGAGGTTTAAGAAACTCGACCTAGATAACTCCGGATCCCTCAGCGTGGAGGAGTTCATGTCCTTGCCCGAGTTACAGCAGAATCCACTGGTGCAGAGAGTCATCGAGATATTCGACACGGACGGCAACGGAGAGGTGGACTTCAAAGGTGAGGCATGCGAGAAAACATTTCGCTGCACAAGAAACCAATGGCAATCTACCTGTCACTCAAGTAGCCATGCCCAAAATTAGCTATATAGACCAAAAACAGCAGTTTTTTTCTGCTGTAAAGTTGGGCATTTTAACATGGGGAGTCTTAAGGGACTGACTCCCTTTTGGAGCCAGCCTCTAGCGGCCAGTCGATGAATTACAGTTTTAGTCACTTCTGTGTTGGTTTCAAAAAGAAACTGGAAGGTGGAAGCCACTTAGCGATCGGATCATCACAGCCTGCTTTGCATCGGCCCATATACTAACAACAGTCGTTCAGCTTTATGCACCAACTGAGGAAGATCACGCTGAAAAGGATGAGCTCTACGATGTGCTAATGACTATGATAGACAAAGTACCGAGACATGACCTCGAAATCGTTATTGAGGACATGAACGCTCAGTTCAGCCATGACCACCAGGGTTTGGAAGAAACCATTGACCTTTGGCATCCTCAAAACGACAGTCGGGCACAGTTAATGTCGTTATGCATATATAACAACCTCAAACCTTAGTACAGTGATTACACACTGTTGCCAATGGCTGGCTGGACACATTATGCGGTTGGAAAGCATTTCAGCTAGTTACCATAACATTTCTCATGTTAATTCAGGTGAACTTTTTTAACTAGAACTAAAGCTAAAATAAAAATTAATAAAAGCTTATATGGACATAAAAATGACAAATGTTACTAAAACTTTATTGGGTTAATGATCCGTTGTTTTGTGTGTGTAGAGTTCATAGAGGGCGTCTCTCAGTTCAGTGTGAAGGGCGATAAGGAGCAGAAACTGCGCTGTGAGTACATCACACTTCACCTCTGATCTCACATCACACAGCATTCGACTCTGTCAACATTCACTGTTTTCCTGGATCCAGTCGCTTTTAGGATCTATGACATGGACAAGGACGGCTACATTTCCAACGGAGAGCTGTTCCAGGTGCTGAAGATGATGGTGGGCAACAATCTGAAGGACACTCAGCTGCAGCAGATCGTGGACAAGACCATCGTCAACGCAGACAAGGACGGCGATGGGAGAATATCCTTCGAGGAGTTCTGTGCTGTAAGTCTGGCTGCCAGTCAGATGTGTGTGTGTGTGTATATATATATATATATATACACATCTGAACAGTTTTTTAAAATAACTATTAAATTACATTAAATTATAGAGCACTATAAAAGCATTTTTTTCCCCTCATGAAAGACTATTTTTATATTTCCACAAAAATATGCAGCTTTTGGTGAATAAAATAGTGTCTCACGCATATGAAGGCACATGAAGCTTGTCAGTTATGGGATGTCTATTCTGCATGCTGCATCAAATCAACTATTATGGGATATATGGACTACTTGATTCTGTAAGAAACAATAAACATGTAAAACTTGACATGATTTATTGACTCCACACGCGTCTGATTTCCATTAATGAAGTGTTTATTATCTGAAGCTCCACTGCTTGAGGAATCCACCGGTGCTCACATCAGTCACCATATCATTCATACACATATACAAGCCAATATGGCACTAAAAATGTAAATCATTATTTCTGCATTAGTCCTTCAGCTGCGTGTTAAAACCTCTCGGCTGCGCGGCTCGCCACCGCCCGAATGTTGCCATACACCTTTGATGGAGGACTTCCTGTGAAGGTTACATTAAGCAGAAATATTTCCTCTTATTATGATTATTTTTTTCATTCAGATGCAAACATTAGGCATTAGATTTTCACTAACCGAGAATGAGGTTGCAGATTGCCGTTCGTGCCATTTTGATATTCTGGAAAGATCCCAAAATATGAACCTTCCTGTATAGAAAGAAGAAAAAGAATCAGTTCTGCATTCAGTCATAAAGTGCACATACAGAGCGGTCACATACACATACATATACATATAAACTTAGCTTAAAAAAAAAAATTAAATGACAATTTATGGCCAAATAAAAAGTGCATTAAAATAGTGCAATATATTACATACCTTTAAATAAAGTAAAATAAACAAATACATTGTGAATGTTCACCATATCCCCAGCCCAAATTAAACAAGACATTTTACATTTCTAGTGGGAATTCATGAAATTCATCAAAAAAAGATTGAAAGGTTTTCTCCACACACGCGGTTATGTATTTTGAGACTCACGTGTCTGCGAGCACAATCCTGGTTTTGGTCACGTTCTCAATGGTGAACTTGGTTTTTCCTCCTTTCCCTGCTATCCTGCCGATGGCTCTGGATAAGTGATCTCCTTTCAGAGGTTTAACTGCAAACACACGCACAGAGAAATCAGCGGCTGGACAAAACTCACTCTTGTGAAGTGGCTCAGGTTAAAGACTCACCGTCCGTGACCTCAAACGTTTCCAGAAACAGTTCATCTAATCTGATCAGAGCCAGAGCATCCTGTGGAGTGACATATGATACACACGTAATGATATTACTGCACAATCCCTGAATAACAAGACCATTTAATAATAATAATAATAATAATAATACAATACTGAAAGAAAGGGCTGGGTGATATACCAAAAAAAATAAAAAATTTTGATGCCTGTCATTATATCTTACTATTTATGCACACTAATTTATAAAAACTAATAGGTTTTAACTAATAGGGGGGGGGGATATCCGTTTATTCATCAGAGACACTTATTACAACATTTATAATGTTACAAAAGATTTCTATTTCAAATAAATGCTGCTCTTTTGAACTTTCTGTTCATCTGTGAATCCTGAAAAATAAAACGCATCACTGTTTCCACTAAAATATCGTGCAGCACACCAGTTTTCAACATTGATAATAATCAGAAATGTTTCTTGAGCAGCAAATCAGCATATTAGAATGATTTCTGAAGATCATGTGACACTGAAGACTGGAGTAATGATGCTGAAAATACAGTTTTGATCACAGCAATACATTACATTTTAACATATATTCACATTAGTGCTGTCAAAATTAGCGTTAACGCAGGTGATTAATTCTTTCAGTTTAACGTGATAAAAATATTTAACGCAGGAGCGGAGCTAGCGTTGGCCACCTCACACACAACTGCTGCTTCGGTCTCTTTTTCTTGACAATAATTGCATTTATTTAGACGCAGAACATCTTTATGATCACATCAAATGGGAGACTTTCAGACGCGCGCTCCGGCTTCACCTCAGCGCCAGCGAGGAAAAGATCCAGGTGACGAGAGAGCTTCAGCAGAACAACAGTGAACTGTGATCAGATGAGAAGCTGGCAGGCCACATGTCAGTGAAAACCATACTGTGCTCGTAGCACATGCTCTTCAATCGCACGCACAAATGCAGTGGCGCAACCCGTTTATAATTTCATATTAAAGCGCAAAAGAAACTACGAGCATGCAATGTCGTATTATGTCATCAGTTAAGTCATGAAGTTACCAAAAAGGTGATTAAAGCTGCCTTAAAACTGTGCATGCATGTAAGTATTTGTTATATTTGAGTCCCATTTAAGAACATGTTTCTAAAATGCTTTTCAAAACTGTCCTGAAACACCAGCACTGTCTCCCTCATCTAACACACCCGATTCATAAGTAGAGACTTTAAGACCTGAAGCACGTTAGAAAAGGTAAAGAGTTTTGAGAAAATAGGATGCGTGTCAGATCCGCGTGATGTCCAGCAGCGGCAGCTCTTAAAGTAATAGCGGCCAAAATAACTTAATAACCAGCTGCTGTGATGTCTTTTCATCAAAGAACTCAAGAAAAAAAAAAAAAGAGGAAATCAATAACCTTTGTAGCTTTAAGGATTCATCTATTTAATTTATAATTGAGTGTTTGATAACTTTAATCAATTTCTGTATATTTCCTACTTCCTGAAGGGCACAGGTAACTAAATATGACATCCGTTATAATGGGTTTATGTGAAGATTGTTTTAAGTTCACTTAAATTAGTTGTCATTTTTTTTAAAGTCTGCTAAATGTTCAGATTGATAGCTCTCAATTATACTGTAATGTTTTTATGCATATATTGTTTAATGGCTATAGTCAATAGTTAAATATTAAGAAAAAGCTAATTTCCTAGAGACATCAGTAAGTACTGGTATCAGTAGCTGGGTTTCCATCAGCCTGCTTTTATGCGCATTTTGAAGTATCGCATCAGTATCGAGAGATGGAAATGCTGAATTCGCAAAAAAGTTTTTACGCTCGCTTGAGGTGGATTTTGACTTGTGCGCAAAAGGGTTAATGCGAATAATGGGAGATGGAAATGCATTTTGCGAATAAATTCCTCCAAGCGCATGTGACTCTGCGCTATGGGACGGCATAACCTGACTAACCAGCGAACAGCAGCATCCACCTCCGAAAGCAATGACCGCATTCATTGCGTTTCGTCTTTCTCGCTCTGAGCCGCAAGGAATTTATTATATATGAAAATTATTATATTCTCCTACTTTTCTTAGTGATTTATACTGCCAGTTTATCAGGAAGTGACGGTTTTGTTCTCTTTGACCTGTTGGATGGAAACGATGCTCGTTCGCAAATGTTTTATGCGGTATTCCAGTTTTGCGCATAAGTTAAATTCGCAACTTTGGATGGAAACCCGGCTAGTGATACTCTCCTTCAGTCATAAATATTGTCTTTATGTTGGTTCTACATTAACTTGAAGATTGAATGTGAAATTATTGCAATATAAAAGTATATTTAAAAACTTTAATGTTAGGTGGGATTAATCGCGATTAATTCGTTTTTTTTAATCGATTGACCGCACTAATTCACGTAGAAAACAGCTATTTGAAATTGTAATGTTTCACAATTTTGACTGTATTTCTGATCAAATAAATGCAGCCCTGTTGAGCTTTTGAATGGTAAAGTAATTGCACTGAAATGGCTTAAAGAATGTATTTTTACCAACCAGAGGAATCAATGAATAATTAGAGTAACCATCATCTAAATCTAACTTTGTAAACATTTCTGAGTGATGAGAAACAAACTGAATAAGTTTGAAAAAAAAGTGACGGTAAGAACTGATCACACAATCAAACTTAATAATTCTGCAACTAAGAATTAAATCAGAGCTTTTACAACATCTCTGTCTTAATGCTTTCATACTCGCAAGCGTTTTGAAACCACATCTAGTGACAGGATCTTCTGGCAAAAATATACCCACGCATATATAAAAAAAATCAGTATGATCATGAACACTCAATAGATCACCCAGTCGTACTGAACAGAGATAACCTCAGTAACACTCACCTCCACCTGAAAGCCTAAAACAAACGCCTTCACAAAGTCAGCAGCTCTGGTCAGAGCACCGATGTCTGATGTTTCTCTGCACGTCTGCAAAACAACAGCACTTGAAATGATCTGACACTACTCGAGACGATCACTTCCCACTAATTAAAATGGCCAACGCTTACTTTAATCTCCACGTTCCTGGTTTTGAGATTGAATCGCACTTGGAGCTGCAGATGTTCCACGATGGGGGTGAAAATCTTCATCCAGTTTTCTTTCAGAGGACTGTAACGGTGAGCAGGAACAGGCACCTTCCGCATCTCAACTGCGCCTCCCTGAAACAAACAACACACCACCACTTTCATTCCTGAGCTTCACTGCATTTAACGGCCAGTAAACATCAGTAGACATCAGGCAGGAGAGCAAGAACAGAGAGAGAGAGAGACTCAAGTGTGGGCTTAGATATAACCCTTTTGGTCCATTTTGACCTGGAAGAGATGCATATACATTTCTAAAAACAGCATAGTTTATGGTAAGGGAATGAAACTTTGCAAGCGTCTTAACACCCTCGAAAAAACACTCTATTACAATTAATTTTAAAGAGATATAGATATGTTTTGTTAGAAAATGTTGACCGTTAATACTGGTAATTATATGTTCTTATAAATTTAATACAACAATATTAGATTTATCATCTACACACACACACATATATATATATATATATATACACACACATATATAATTTATGAAGCAACGCTTCCCCGAAATCGTACAGCGGTTCTGAATGCATTATGAAGGTTAAAGGGGTCATATGATGCGATTTCAATGTTTCCTTTCTCT